ATCTGTCCTTACGGCCGTCGTACTCCTATTCGGCACTACCGTAAAGCGTGCCGCTTCTCTTTCATTCTTGATGTTTCCTTTATTTTGTTTTCTTCTCTTCCGTTAACTATTTGACGGCTTTAGTCCGTACTCGAAGACCCTAGGTTTGCATTTTTTTTCCCAACCGGTTTTATGCATGCTTGATCAAACGCCTCACAAACTTGCCTAAACCGTGATCTGCGCAGTAAAGAGGGTGTTCGACAGTCCCCCTCGTACATCAGATCGAACCTTTTTCAGCCTAGCTCTGACATTTCATGAAGGCTAACGCGTAGTGCCTGGATGAGGGCATTGTTAAAGAGGACTGTAGCGTTTTATTCGGGCTCTAGGCAAGCACGAAAAGCACCAATTTATAGCTGTAAATTCCGAAATGTTCAATTGGAAATCGTCGAGGCGTGACACCTCTCCGACTACGTTTGTGACTGTGTATCAGTTCCCTTTGCAACCCGGATCGCCATTGAACTTCCACTTTCTTGCTCGAAATAATTTTGATTGGCGCGAGCTACCAGATTTGGTACGTTTTCTCTCGTTTCTGGACTACAAATACCCGAAAACGCTTTTACACAGTTTTCATCATAGCCCTTTTAAATCCCTTCAAAGTGTATTAGCGTCCGCACTAGACTGGTATGCGAAGCTTCTTGGAGAAAAGCCTGAAAGTTTAAGTACTTCACTCTTGATTCTTGTTAATATTCCTGTCTTCGAAGGCGAATAGGTATCTTCCAGTTTCGGAAAGTAAGCCTCTACAAACTGCATCGTCCCGATTGACTTTGTTTCGAATTTTGAATAGCTAGCCAGCTGAATCTCCAGGCACACGTTTCGCCCAATTTTTGCAACTCTCTGACGCATTTTAAAAGGATTTCACTGAGTTGTTCTTTCCCCGATGCTCCTTATGTAGTTTCCGGTGTGTGGTTCGTTTGGCAAAGTGAAATTTATGTTGTTGTCTTGAGGTTCAGTCTGTGAAATCAGACTAGCCAAACCGCACTACGAGCACACTGAAGCCCCTTTTATGTTTATTAAGCATGCTAATTACTGTCATCTTTGAGGTGTTCTCTTAAATTAAAAATATTCAACTTTGATCTTGTTTTATACCAATTGGGACTTGACCTCTCTAAGGCCGGCTTCGATGTCTTATCTGACTAATCTCATTAAGGTTTAGGGAAGTTTGTTGAGTGGGTTCCCACGGAAAGTTGCAAATGGTAGTTATTGTAGAAGCTAGTAGCTTTGGCCATTTTGCTTGCTCCTTTGTACACTTTACTTTTTCCATCAAATTCTGTTATGCGGACCTGCCAAGCTGATAGTTTTTTATGATTGCAAAGAAGATGAAAGCACGATCACTGGGTCGGCAGTTTATTTGTCTGAGCTTTCGGTTTCGTACAAGAGGCCGTCTTCAGAGACGATGGAAGCGCAATGGGAATGGACGTGTTCTGTGTTCCAGCTTTTATTATCCTCATCTCGATGCTCTTGTCGAGTACAAAAGTGTCGGCGATGTAACGTTGCTAAAAGATAGATTTGTGTTGCCTAAATGTCATCTTGAGAAGTGGTTTCAGGTCGGACTCTACTACTTCCCCGGAGAGCCCATTCAACTCCTACCTCCTCGTTTGGCTTTTCGAAACCGAGCTTATTTGTGGTTTAAAGGTAAAAGCATCCGAGGCGAATAAGGCTACACTCATCGGACAACCTTACTCTGCATGGTTTCTTGGTTGTTTTACAGAAGCTGACCTTTTTATGGTACAGTCTGCTCTTACAATTTTACTCGAAAGGGTCCGGTCTTTGGTCAAAAACGTGTCGTCCAAGGAACCTTTTATCTATGTTCTCGGTGAATGGGGCAGCATTTTGAGTATGGCCATTCGTCAACTGCTATCGTCTCTGCCCTCAAGGCCATGCTCATGGTTTATCTGTGTTGGTATATGTGCTCAGTCGCTTAGCGCCCCTGGCATTTAAAAATGCAATTAGCCTCGTGCTAGTCAATACTTTTCGCGTCTGAAAATGCTTGCATAGTTTAAAACCTCTATTGTTGCTCAAAACTACTCAGTCTTGCCAGCGTTTGACTAAATACCTGCGACTCTCCCTCTAATTAGCCTGATGACTATTTTTTTGGTGAGTCACTCTGGGGTGCTGAACTGCATATTTTGAACTACGCACTTGCAACTATCTTCGCATTGATTGTTTTGACGCCTGTTCCGTCCTTGTTCCGTCAGCTTGTGCTGTTGTGATTAAAATAGTTTCTTTGCCGACCATTTGGGCCTTCCTCATTATGTAATCTTTTTATTCGTCATCCTTTCAGGTAGCTTGCATTATTCGTGTACCATACGAGACAATAAAGCAACGTGCTCAGAGCCAGCCTCATGTCGGCGTCAGGACCGTCCTTTCGGAAACGATCCGGGTAGATGTGAGTGAGGAGATCTCTTATTTTTCTGTTCTTTTTTTTCACGTCCTTATTTTCGTTCTGATCATGTTGGCACGGTTTTGTGATGTAACTTTATTGCATACTGCGAAGTAAAGCCGCGGGCCCTAGGTCTGTGCTGACCTAAGCTATTTAGGAAGTGTTCAGGCTGAAGGCACCGGCTCCTTGCACTCATTCCTTTTTTTCGCTTGCGAGCTGGCTATATCAGAATGAATCGCAATTTGAATGCCTGCAGTCCCGCACCGGACTCCCAGGTTTTTAAGCACTCCCGTCACTCATCTTTCCCATACAAAACACCCTCAGCACACGAAAATGTTGCGACATGTAGTGTAAACAGGAACAACCTGACTTAAAACCAACCCCTTTCCTCCCCCCGAGCCTGGTCAGTAAATTCCGTTGACCTAATTGTGAAAAATTTGCGGCCTCAGTGAGAGTAGAACCCACACAGCAGGGAACGCTTTTGCACAGGCAGCGCTCTACCATTGAGCTACGAGGCTCATTGGGCACCTTGAATTTAC